TCCCTCTGAATACAAATAACGTTATTCTGTATTCCGTAACGTCACATATTTTTGTCAATTTCTATGCGTATTGGTCATCAGCGATTTATCTAAAAAAAAAAAAAAAGGATGGTGACATATGTTTTTTTATTTATGTATGGATTTGGTATACAATCCTGGATATTATGTTAGTTTTCAGTCTTTCTCCGTATATATGAAAATAGCCATCCATTGAAAAATCTAGAAAAGTAAGTCTAAAAAAAAGCATTTTCCCTATATATCTATGTAAATTTGGCGCCAAAATTGACAGTTACCTATCAAAATTACAAAAAAACAAGAACGGTAACCCCAATTTTTTATTTCATATTCCGATGTAACTCGATTCAAAGTACTAGTGTGCCAAAATTTTTAGAGAAATCGGGAGATATGCCATTCGGTATCGTGTTACCTTAAACAGATATATCATGTTATTGAGGGGTATTTGCGAAAAATACAAGTCTTGGGACCAAATTTCCCTTGCCTAGCGGCTCGGGAAATTTAACAGTCCCTCGACTGGTATTTTCGTAACTGTTTCAAGCTTCCATAAATATCGCCAAAAAACATGCAATTGACGGTCTTCCACGAAACAAAACGTCACAATGTCGAAAGAATATCATTGTATATGCCATTAGAAATTAATAAATAAACGAAGGAAAATGTTTTATCCGGGAAACTTATTCCGTTTTAGTTTTATGATACTCGACGTGATATTTGTTCAATTATCAAGCAAAAGCACATGTTCGAATCTGTTCAAAATCGGATGGAAAAACGTATCGTGTAAACAGGACGCTGTACGATTTACCTGAACGTTGGTATAAAATCGGATGGAAAATCGTACCGTGTAAACGCACCTTAAGCCTAATAAGGGGAGATAAGTCAATTAAACTTACTTACCACTTTTGTTAATATACATCATGTGTAGCAAGTAATCAAATCCCATGACTTTGATTTTCTCACATTTTAAGCAAATTTTTAGAATTATCTTCTCATATTTAGTTTTAAAATTATACATTTTATTGTTCTTTCTATCACACAAAGTCAGTTTTTTCCATTTATCAACTATACAAATTCTGACAATTTTTACACAACTTGTAGATTATAAAAAAAAAAAAGTAAAGCAAGATATTAACTTTATTTTTGCAAATTATCAAACAATTCTATTGATTTTAATTTAGACCCTTTACAATTTGAGAACTTTGACAAAGTTATTTAAGAAATAATTTCTTCGTGTCATGCTCTATGCTCATTTTAACATGGATAAAGGCAATATATTTGTCACTATTTTACACGGAGCGTTGACGTTAACTGTTGACGAAGCTACAGCTTCAATGACAAAATGTTGCAGACTTGAAAAAAATATCTAAGGAATAATATCATATGCATTGCAAGGGAGACAAACCAATACTTTTTTTGTAGTTTAATCATATTCCAGATGTCATTTGCCGAAATATTTATCAATTATGGACTTTTGACGAGGTCAATACGTTATATATGGACCTGTTCAGATTATTTTGACCGAGGACGAAGTCCGAGTGTCAATATAATCTAACAGGTCCATATATCTAACGTATTGACCAGGGGCGTAGCTGGACTTAAATAAAGTGCAATCATAACGATCGCCGAGCGAAGCAAGGCGAAAATTTTTTTGGGACCATTTTATGCAGAAAATTATAAATTTTTTCGGGCATTTTCCCGGTATGCCATGCTTATGAAATTCACATCACATTCACGCCCAAACTCCTATTTTGTGAATACTTGTGGACTTTATAGTGATTCGGCAAGGGAGGAGGCTATGGACCGCCCAAAGTCCCCAGCTGGTCCAGGATAGTACCCTAGTCGGGGATTCAGGGCAGCACCGTAGACGGTGGTCTAGGGAAGCGAATCCCCATGAAGCTCCGGGCATATGAGTAATTACAGTGACTGCTTTGAACATGAAAAATACCCTATATGTTTCTTACTATACCATATTTTCATAAAACGAGAGTAAAAGTCTAGTGAGTTCCGTAATTTGCTGCTTATATTATTAACATGGTTATTTTCAAATATAAAAAAAAAAATTATAAAACGGGAAGATCAGGAAGAGTCGATAACCGAAACGTTAATCAATGGACAATTGACAAACCTGGGAACAGATAAGACACAAAAGGAGAAACAAAAACATTCAACATTGAAAACTAAATACAGATGAAAAACACGGACCCAGAAAACAATGTGGCGACCTCCAGTGCTCCGGCCAAAAGGGTAAGCAGTTCCTGCTTCTTGCAAGACACCCGTAGTGTGTCTCACGAAGGTCATTCTCAAATCAAAGGAGAGGTTTCTACGACAACGGTAGTAGGTCATTTGGGACACAGATACCCCAGGTGAATCAATAGTCTTTTGGACGAACGGACAATGGGAATACGAAATCTAACGGCCACTTTAAGTCTTGACTTATAAGTAAGGGATATAAATCTAAGATGTTTTCAAGGTGATTGTATTGAGCCTGTATTAATAAATGTTAATACTGCATGTAAGACTTAAAGTATAGTTAATATCGAAAGTCCATATATCTATTTTTTGCCAAGGCAAATGATCGCAGAACTCTCTCGGTGTTAGTAATATCCATTTCTTTGTGAACATGTAGGAGCGCCAACGAAGATAGTCTGTCCTGTACCATGGTTGAACGGAGATAAGTTTTCGGTCGCCTTAATGCACTAAATGACCGTTCAGTAGTTGATGTAGTTACTGGCATTGTAATTAGAATTGAGAAGATTGCGAATATTTAAGGATATATAGTTCCTTGTTAGTCACTGCTACAGACGACATCAAAGATTTGGGCTTTAAACACCGCCCAACACGATAATCTGTAAAGACTAAAGACTATCCGTAATTCAATTTCAGAATATTTTTTTTTTGGTGAAAAAAATGTGCAAGCAAATGATTTTTTGCGTAAAGGCAGCTACGCGCCTGTTGACTGAGTGAAAGACCTTAATTTCTATATTACATATGTAAATAATGTATTAGGAAAATGACGTTCAGTGTTCTTTCTGTGGATTTTTCAATTGTATTTTGCAAGAATTTTAGCATGTTACTGAAAACAAGGATTTGTATAGTACTATACAAATCCTTGCTGAAAATATCATTTTTTTTTATTTCTAAACTTCATAGCTTGTTGCATTAGCATTGATTCTTGTATTCTTATCGTCTGCATTTAACATAAAATTCTTGAAATCTCCTGATAAACTTGCAACTTTTCTTTTCTGATGTGGGGCTTCCTCCGTGGTTGTTATGTGTGACGTCATGAAGTCATAAATCTAAATTTAGTAACATTTTCATATTGACCACCAATATACGTATAAGGCAGCAACCATTTGATTTTCTAGGGGGGGGGGGGGGGGAGGCTATGGATTTTTTTCCGGACAAACTTTGGCGAAAAACAATCTATTTTTTTGGCGACAAGTCGAAAACAATTTTTTTCTGTCAATTTTAGCATTACTAATTCATAAACAGTTTGGGCCATAATCACCAAAATCAATTTCAACTTTCCCTTTTTGGTTTGAAATCTTGTATAATAATTTCATAGAAATCCATAGATTTATTCTCAAATTATGGTCTGGACACCCCGGAAAATCTTTTTTTTAACCTTTATTCCTAATTTTTACTGTTAGGGCAATAATCCCAAATTCAATTCATACCTTCCTTTTGTTGTATGGGACCTTGTGGTTTTATTTCTTTGAGATCTATACACTTATACTCAAGTTATTGTCTGGAAAACATATGTCTACAGACCACAATGACGACATATCCACACCATTATAAAATGGCAAAAGTGTTGCAGTCTATAAAAACTTAATGTTGACCACACTTCAAAAAAAGGCCAAGGTCAGATGTATCTCATCAGACAATCATATTCACATTACAATCATTCTGTACACAATACATTGTTGACCTAGAGAATCTGACCGAGAACAGACCAAATCATGGAACCTAAATGATGACCAAATGGTGCAGGATAAGCCACTCAAATTAACAAATTTTTCGTAAACCCTTTTCTTATCCCAATCCATGCAATGTGATACAAAATATATCTCTTCATGTGAGAAATAGATGACAGGCAATAACCATAAGAGAATTAATTGTCCTTATTACACATAAAAACTGTCAAATTAATTTGAAAACAAATAATGTACACATACCCTTAAAAATGGAATCAAGATAATGTTCATATGCCAGATTAAACCAGACCATAAGGCAATTGCATACAAGATATGGATTAACTCATTCTTCTTCAGTCTTGATTATGAAGTTTTATATCAGGAGCATTTTAGAATTCTAGATCTATTTAAAGACTTGGCAGCCAATCAGGTAATCAGCAAGTCCAATGAACATTTCTGTCATGTAATTGCTAAGTATCATTTGTGTCAAGTCTTGTTTAAACTAGCAAAGAAGTTTCTGTGACATTTAAAACTCAAAACATGATGTTGAAAGATACCAAGAGATGGAAATATAAACTGTTGACACAGAGATATGTCTTGCGTTTTTTGGTGGTATAATGCAAATGTTGAAATTAAATTGCAATATTTAAACTTTTTATCTATGCAATGAACCATGACTGACGGTTCAGGGCAAAATAAAAACACCATGGAAATGCTAAACCTTATAAAACTGCATACCCAACACCATTGACTTATCAATTGGTTCCTTGTTAAACTGTGAAAGTTTCAAAGTCCATGAACCATGATAAGGAAGTAGGACCAAATAATCTCTATGAAAATGAGACTTGCAAATGCCAATACAACTGCATACCAAATATCACATATGTCACTCATCTTAAACTGATCTAATCACAAATCACATGTAAATAATGCAAAACATTCAGTCAATAAACCATGACTGAGGCTGGAGCTGAACAATCTCTATGGAACTGAGATTTGTCAATGCTTATACATCTGTATACCAAATATCATTGACATACCACTTATAGTTCACTTTCAATTGACCTAATCACAAACTTATACATGTAAACTAATTAAAAGTTTTAAGTCGACTATGACTGAGGGAGAGAAGCAAAATAATCTCCTTAGAAATAAGATGTTTCAATGCTTATATAACTGCATACCAAATATCATTGACCTACCACTAGTTGTTTTCTTTAACTTGAACTTATCACAATCAAATACATTGTTGAAGCTGCTGCTTATGGAAAAAGCATGCCCAAGTCTCGCTTTTTCAACTTCGTCCATACCATACAATAAATCAGCTGTGTGTTACCCTTGACCACAGAAACCTCTTCCCCCTTTATTTGTCATTCAGACTCAAATAAAATATAAGATAGGTTTTCTCAATTAAATTTTTATTTACATATTTATTTATATCATTATCATGCATCATAATATAAAATACCCAAATGAAACCAGACCCATTCTGCTCCATCAAGTGTGTACAAATACCAAAGAAATTGTAATAATAATAAGTTTTTAGTCCCTTTATAAGTAAAAGGAGGAAAAGGATCTGCATCATGGGTAAGGTATCATTGGTTAAATATTACAATTATACAAAATAACTGACAGCACTGAGGATTCTTTTTAGTTTCTTGATACCAGTTCCCAGACTAGCTGTTTAAATAGAATTTAGAAAATCAATTCTGTTCTGAGATACATGTCTTAGATCTTAATATCCTTAGGTCTTAAAGGAATATTTTTTTTGCTCACTATTAAACTTGGTGCTTTCCAATACTTTTAAATGCCAAACTTGAAATAAATTTATATAATTCCATAAAATATATGAATCCTCAGTTTGTCACATACGAAGAGGCATTTACAAATATAACAAGGAATACAATGGTAAATACTAAGATAAAAAATGCATAAAAATACATGAATCAAATTCATTTATGAGGTGTACTCAATTATTTACTGGGTTATTTAAATAAACTAATATCGTGATCTGTGCAAAAATTATTAGATCACCAAGGAAATAGTTAACTGCATTTCATTAAACATTTATAACCCCAAGCTCTTATATTGTATATAAAGTTTCTTTATAATTCCTCCCAATTTCTAACCAAAGTCAATTCTTTATATCAAAGTAGGATAGTTATTTAATAATACATGTATGATATAAATATTTTTTTTTTAATATTTTCTTTGAACCAGAACTTTTTGCCCAGGAAGTAATAAATAATTATTTCATATAAAATAAAAAGAGATATGATTGGCAACGAGACAACTCTCCACCAGAGACCAAATGACATAGAATTTAACAACTATCAGTCACCTACAGCCTTCAACCATGAGCAAAACCCATACCCATAGTCCATATCCTTTAGGAAATGTGCCATAGTCAGCAAGTATATCATCTGTTTGCTCATCCGTCTACAACTTCCAATCACAATTAAAAGGATTGAATTGTTTTTGCCTAAACTTTCAAATAATCTTCAGTATCTGTTGGCATTGTGTATATTTTTTTCACATCCAAAGGTTCTCCAATCGAAGAATGGACTCTTCCATTTATAAAATTTTATTACTCATATTGAAGGATAGGTTGGTTCAGCTGATAAGAACATAGATTTAGTTAGAGCAAGATTCTGCATTTCTAAATCTTGTAATTTGGTCAATCTTCAACGATCACTTCAATATTTATGTTCATTCATTTTTCTATTTTATCCACAAAAAAAGTTAAAAGCATAATAAATGTCTGATCTCATTATGTAAATTTATATTTTGAATAGCATGTATAATCAAAATATATAAACTCAATCATACTTAGGCTTGGTATAACAAGATTTGACAGTAAAAACAAATAAAATCACATAAAAACCACTAAAATCAGATAAAACCAGATAAAACACAAATCTTGTTATAGCAAAGCCTTATAAAATTTACATTAAAGCTACAGTGGTAATATATATCAGTGTGAACCCCAAATTTATTTAAGTCATTAAAATTTTGTCATAATGAGATCCAACTACTAAAAACATGATTAAAAACAAATATATTTGAACCAACCTATTCTTCACATGATGAAATGGTGGTATGAGAAGCTTCTTTCCCTTTTTTTTTCAAATTCTTAGGAGGTCCATTCATTACAATTGAGAACCCCAAAATTTCATTATAATAAAATAAAATACACACAGCCATTAGATACAGAAGATAATCTGAAAGTTTAAATGAAAACCTTCCAATAGTTTATAAGCTGTGGATGAGAGATGATGATGGACAAACAGACAAATCTTCTTTAATAACCTTTTTATGCTCAACATGAGTGCAGATGGGCATGGGATTTGGTCCTGCCCTGGGTCATATCAAAGAATTGAAAATTGGCATTTGATGCTCCCCTGCTAAGCATTCAGCAATTAGGAGTAGGAGCAAAGACTGGTCAGCTGGAAGTCAGAATAATTTGTTCAGGTAGGGTTAGATGTCTTGTGCAGACTTTTACATTATGAACTAGCACATTAAAAAAATCTTGCATTTTTAATTATCCATCCATCCTTCAAAATCAAAACTTCTTTTACAGATCCTGGTTATACATGTGGAGGGGGGAGGTAATTGTTTAGAAGCTGAGTACAAGCCTCAAAAATCAAACATTAAAATATAAATAATCATAAATGAGAAAAAATATAGAAATCAATCACACAAAAATGAGAAAATATGACAAATTGCAAAAACTATGTAATTATTTTCACTTGAGTGGCCTCAGATGCTGAATAATGCATTTAATATAATATATAAACAAAACCAATAAATAAAACTGACAGCCATTAATTTGTATGAATGTAAAGAATGCAGAGTCAAAACAAACCATCTAACTAAACATTTTTATTTCTAGTTCATATTGCACCAAAAACTCAGTACTTAAATTGTTTAATAGGGGATTTGTTTTATTCCCTTTTAGTGTTTGGCCATCATAGTCCTACTTAATAGGTTTCTAACCAGAAAAAATCATTTCACAAAGGACTTATAATTCTTAACCAGTGTACATAACTTAAAAAATATATGTAAACTGAAGCAAGTCTTATGGGTATCTTTTGAAACCATACATCATACCTCTGGAACCTCTCAAATAACAATAATTTCACAGTTTTTTTTTTTATATTTCTTCAATCACAAAACAATAATTGAATGCAAGAAAAATAATGAAATAAATATTTATAATTTGAATAATAAAGCATTAAAAATTAATTGCATTTATAATTCATTCTGCTTACAAGACATTAATATCTGCTGATTTTTTTACAAAAAATAGCAACAGTTCATCCAATGGTTTGCAGGATTGTAGTCTGAGGATTTTACCATACAAGGAAGGAAGCAACAACAACTCTTTCGACTGAAAAAGAAACAAAGTTAAATTTCAATTGTTGATTCTTAATTTTAAAATAATCTAAAGGGAATAAAGAAACAAACATCAGTGTATGTTAAACAATTTGTTTATTACTTATATTGATTACTCAAAAATATATAGTATAAAAAATATCCGATTTTATTGTTATCTCTCCTTCATATATCTTCTTCAGATCTAGTATCTGCTTTAAAGGGTACATTATTTTAAAATGAAGATTGAATACTGATTTTTTTTAATTGAAAATAAAAAAAAATATATATATTGAAATCTATTGAGTGACATTCATCACACTATAACATAAACACATTAAAGTTGTATGTTGATGAATAAGTTCTCACCTTATAACAGCTTTATCCCAACAAGTAACCCAATGGAAACCTGATGCTAACCTGGAATATAAAAGTAGTCAGTTATACTAAACTTTCCTAAAAAAAATTACTACACATGTACTAAATTTAAAATTGCACTAGGGTAACAAAAAATCATGGAAAAAATATTTGGTATTCTGAATTATAAACTGAGTTTTATATTTACCAAAAAAATTCAACCGGTATCTCATCAGTGTAAAATTATTTTTTTGGTACTAAAGAACCTTATGAAATTGATTTCAAATATTACATTACTAAAAAGATGCTTGATTACCTACCAACATGTTAACAATATCAGACATCCAAGTCTTACTCCCAACACCATGAAAACATCATCATTATAACAACCTAAATATAAAAAAGATAAAAAAAAAATAACTTGTTTTACAGATAATTCTGTCTCTAAGAAGACTAACAAAATAATGCTATGTTTTATTTATTAAAACCTGTTATACATTATCATCTTCACTATATAAACTTTAAACTGCTAGAGATAGAAATTGACCTTGTGCAAGTGCACTATATGTATAAGACAATGATTTTGGAATATTCAATTACAAAATCGGACGGTTTTGTTCTCTTTTGATGGTTCTTAAAATCATTTTCATAACAGCGTACACAATCCCAATACTTATGTTGGTAATAATACTAACTCAATTACTGTAAATTCAGAAACTATTGCAATGTTTTTATTATTGCGAAAAATGCAACATGGTTGTATTGGCAATAATTTAAACTAGCATTTTGAAATTTTTTATATGAATTAAACAAGATTTTTCTCAATATCGCAAAAAATTAAAATCGCATTTTAGTCTAAAATTACAAAATCGCAATTAATGAATGGTTATTATTTATTTTGAATTTATTGAACCATAAAATTAATTTTTGACTCTTCACATTGAATAATCCGCGAAGCATTGTGAAGTCAAAAATTAATTTTATGGTTCAATAAATTCAAAATAAATTATAGCCATTCATTATAAATAAATTTCTATCAAAAATAAGGCTCAAAGATCTTTTTATATTATTCATATTAACCATAACGTACACGGATGTTGGCGTATGAATATACAACGTCAGAGTGGGCATGTCGCCATAAAAATTGACAACATTGAAAATAAAAGTAATACTTTTAACCAATCAGAAGACAGTAAATACACCCAAATTTATTTATTAATACTCTAAAAATCAAACTGATAGAAAAGAACCCTTAAAAAATAATGTTAAATGCCTTATATATATATATTAATACCATAAAATTTGTGGAATATATAAACTTACCACATATTTTTCATGGTTAAGCCTCAGACTTGGTGAAGATTAAATTGACCATCTCCCTTAGAGCTGCTCTCCCGGCTGACAAGGTGGCTCTCCTCATCATCTTAACATCTTTTTTTTTTAAATATAGTTTTTTACATTAAATATATCAGATGCATTTCTAATAAATCCCCTTTCTTGAAAATTTCAGAAAATCAATTGTTAATGACCCAAGATTTCTCCCACCCTGCATACTTATTATCTAGAGCTCTGCTTACATTTATTTTTTTTTATTACAGAGCTCTAAGTAATAGTCAATATTAGCTAGTATACATCTGATATTAAAAAAAAATGTACAAACATGAATATCCAAGTAGATGAAAATCCTAACATTGAGGGAATTTCAAGTATGTGGAGTTAAACAGGGGTATAATAAATTGCCTCCCTTTGACCCAAATTTCACCCTGTTCGGACTCCACATCCTTGTTATATTAAACAAAATAAATAAAATGGTACAATTAAAATTAAAAAATAGATTGATAACAAAAATCTAACACATTTCAATAAAATATTTCGTACTGATTGACTTATGGTGGCAGAGTGGTCCTATAAGTAGCACTAGCCTGTCAACACTGACAACCCTCACTTGAAATGTGTAACTTCATTCTTAATTTGACTAGGGTTTGCCCGTTTCCCTGATGAAGGTGATGTTTTCACCAGGCACTCTGGCTGTCTCCACAAATAAAAATTTACAACCAAAATTATAGTAAATCATGTTAAAGTGGTGTTTGATACCAAAAATCAACCAATCCAATTTCAACAAGATGTTCTTCAACTATGCCTTTTGTAAAATTATTCTTTAAAAAATATCACCTTGGTTACACACCAAAGTCAGCTAAAAATGACAAAAAAAGTGCAAAAAATATATTTCTAACTTCTTAACTTCGTAAATTCCTCTGCATTAGAGCACCCTTGTCACATATCTTAAAGATATTAAAATTAACATGAAAGAAAAGGTTGTAAGGGGATATATTTACTGCAGACCATTATTCATCTTTTTAGTTTACACTAGAGAGGCATTTGCTATGGTAAGGTATTTTGAAACATTGCTAAAAAAAACAAAAATAATTAAAATTTTTGCTAAGAAATTTAGTGGGAATATTCACATCGGCAGATTTAATTGCATTAACTACATGTATAAAGTAACTTGTAAAATTTGAAAGTATCTCAAATCCTAAAATAACAAAAAGATGGCAAAAATATATACATTACAATTTGCAAAAAAAAAATACATTTCAATAATTGAACATTTTTTTTTCTTTTTTCTTTCTTTTTCTCTTAGACTATCCATTCTTAAACTGCTGGAAGTGTTTTGACTAGACATGAGTATAAACGGAAAATAGAAAGAATTTTTGTAATGTCAAATACAAGTTTACCTACAACTTCCAATCTTGTTGAAAATGGAGAATCTTTACATATTTTTTTTTTTTTTTTTGTAAAAAAATTATAAACATTTTCTCAAGCATACACAAAAATAGTCTGAATTACATTCTTTACTGTTGCAGTTATATCACACAACCATTTTATGCAGCCACAGTTATCTGAAAAAGAAATATACATTACTCATGAACATTGAAATATTTAATGCAAAACAATTATAACAAGAAATGATTGTAACAGGATGCTGTTACGAAGTCTCCCAAACGAAGCTCCTATAATTCGTAATTCCCAGGGTCGTCTGACATTGGGCAAAGTCCAGTGAAAATTGGTTTGGTAAAGTTATATGCATTAGTGATGACTGGGGACTAACCCTGTATATCATTCAAATCATCTTGGCATGACAAACCAGAATATATATGGTTTAGGGGTGGGGATCTCGACCACTTACAAGATACTAGAACATTGGGGGTGGGGGGAACCCCTGGGGACTGACCCTATACATCATTCAAATGTTCGAGACATGACGAACAGGAATATATATGGTTTAGGGGTGGGGATCTCGACCATTTAAAAGATATTAGAACATTGGGGGTGGGGGGAACCCCTGGGGACTGATCCTATACATCATTCAAATGTTCGAGACATGAGGAACAGGAATATATATGGTTAAGGGGTGGGGATCTCGACCATTTACAAGATATTAGAACTTTCTCAAATGGCAGGGGGTGGGGGATGACCCCTGGGGACTATCCCTGTATATCATTCAAACCATCTTTGCATGACAAACCAGAATATATATGGTTTAGGGGTGGCGATCTTGACCACTTACAAGATACTAGAATATTGGGGGTGGGGGGAACCCCTGGGGACTGATCCTATACGCCATTAAAATGTTCGAGACATGAGGAACAGGAATATATATGGTTAAGGGGTGGGGATCTCGACCATTTACAAGATATTAGAACTTTCTCAAATGGCAGGGGGTGGGGATGACCCCTGGGGACTATCCCTGTATATCATTCAAACCATCTTTGCATGACAAACCAGAATATATATGGTTTAGGGGTGGGGATCTTGACCACTTACAAGATATTAGAACTTTCTTAAATGGCAGGGGGTGGGGGTGACCCCTGGGGACTAACCTTGTATTTCATTTGATTTGCTTTATAATGACAAACAAGAATATATATGGTTTAGGGGTGGGGATCTCTACCATTTACAAGATATTAAAACTTTCTCAAATGGCAGGGGGTCGGGATGACCCCTGGGGACTAACCCTGTATATCATTCAAACCATCTTAGCATGACAAACCAGAATATATATGGTTTAGGGGTGGGGATCTCTACCACTTTCAAGGTATTAGAACTTTCTTAAATGGCAGGGGGTGGGGGTGACCCCTGGGGACTTACCCTGTATTTAATTTAATGTGCTTTATCATTTAGAACATTTTCAATTAAAAAGATTGTGTCTATCACAAACGGTTTTCAATTTATAATCATTTGAAAATTTAAAAAAATAAAATCCCATAGGGTTCTATAGTAAAACCCTCCTTTCTTTTCGCCCCTCTAAGTACCCCTTTATAAACCCTATTGCACAAAAAAAACCCTGATTGCACCACTAGACATGTTAGTCTAACATATTGTGAAACCCTAAATTAATCTGACAAGCGGTTTTGGAGAACGGGTGCGGACAAGTTCAAATTTAAAAGTGGCGGAAGAGGAAGAGGAAGAAGAATAATAATAATAATAAGAACTGAGCAAAAACAATAAGTCTTCCCAAACTTCGTTTGGGAGACTTAATTAACTGAGCATTACAATTATAATGTATAGAACATTTCTTTTTCTTTGTTATAAAGTGATTTGTTGACATAAATTTTAAAGTACCAGTATTTCTTAGCAATAAAAGGATGAAAAACAAGTCATTGGCTGATGTCTTGACAAATATCTGTTTAACATTGTTTTATAGCTATATATAGTATATCAGGCTATTAACATACTTGATTGCATTTTTTAACATTTAGTCATGTTTAACCTTTATAGCTAACTATACAATATAGGTTTTGCTCATCGTTGAAGGCACAGGGTGACATTTAGTTGCATCCACATCATTTGGTCTCTGGTTGATAGCTGACTCATTGGCATACATACCACACTTACATATTTTCATATATGGGGACAACTATAGATAACAAAACAACTGAAATCCCATGATTTCGCATTATACATTATACTTTTTGACTTCCCTTATATATCTTTATATCTCCTTCTAAATTGTTTATTCAACTATAAGTAAAGAAGACATTCTTGTGTATAATTCGGAGTTTAGTATGACGTCCATTATCACTGAACTAGTATACATATTTGTTTATAGGGGCCAGCTGAAGGACGCCTCCGGGTGCGGGAGTTTCCTCGCTGCATTGAAGACCCATTGGTGGACTTCGGCTGTTGTCTGCTCTATGGTCGAGTTGTTGTCTCTTTGACACATTCCCATTTCCATTCTCAATTTTATTAATATGTAAGATTTACATCTGTGCCTAACAACAATCTTGGGCTTTAAAATGCTCTTGGATGAAAAGTTCATAAATCTATGTATTGATTCTTACCATAAAAGTCAGCTCCAATGCCCACTCCCAGCTTCAATCCTTACAGACAAGCTGTGATGCTAACCTGAAATATAAAATGATAATTCATTAATAAAACCCTGTAACTCGGAAACGTAAAATCTAAAATTTATAAAAATCGAAAGGGAGCTCATGTCAATAGATATAAACAATTCACCACAATTTCTTGCAAGTTGGTGAAAGCATTCTTGAGTTTTGTCCGAAAACTGGAAAACCCCCTTTTTTTTAATGAATAAAACCCCATAACTCGGAAACGTAAAATCTAAAATTTATAAAAAACGAAAGGGAGCTCACGTCAATAGATATAAACAATTCACCAAAGTTTTATGCAAATTTGTTAAAGCGTTTTTGAGTTAATGTCCAACATGTTGACGACGGACGGACGGACAACGGTATACCACAATACGTCCCGTAAACGGGCGTATAAAAACTGTTTAAAATGTTCTTTGTTGGTATTATGTATGTATATTGAATAGATTGAATAATTGGTTGTTGGTTGCTTAAGGTCCAGTGGCAAATCATTAAATAGAAATAGTCTTAAAATGTGTTATATATGTCAAGAACATATGGATGAGACAGCAATCCAACAAGCCAACACATTTTTATGTAAACAATTCAGATCCTTAACTTTACTCTTATTTGGTTACTGATATAATAATAAGAGTAGATTCCTGTAAAAAGTCTTTAAGCATTCATATCTTGTTTTTCCATAAAATATTTATAATACATTCGAGTTTTCCAAAACAGGACTAACATACTGGTACATACCTTTGTATTAGCTGTATAAGACCACCAAGTCTTATTCCCACACCATGAAAACATGTCTCAGAAAGAACCTGAAATAAAATTATAATCAACACATTATATATTTTGTAAATCAATTTATGTGTTACCGATAACCTAAAATTTACTAAATATTGTTCTGATTTCTTATTGCAGGTAGACAATTGTATAAAATATTTTTTTTTTTTAAATCAATATAAAAGATAGAAAAGTAAAAAAACTTCAGATTTAAATTTAACTGCACAAAAAATATCTGAATATTTTACAAAGTTATCTCCCATTGAATGCAAAATCGTGTTTAAAATTGTACTGGTCTTTTCTTGAAGTTTAATGACTATTTTTAGGATTTACTATTGATATTTTAATAGAAAATCTTGTTCATGTATCTTGTATCTTTAAATACTAAACTGGTAAATTAATTCATCAATGGTGTTTTAAATGCAATATTTCAGAAGGGTCTGTTATCTTAAAAGATCTGGCTAAAATAAACTTGCCTTTTCTATTTTCATGGTAAAGAGTCAGACTTAGTTGAAGATTTAATTGACCATCTTCCTAAGAGCTGCTATCCTGGCTGACAAGGTGGTTCTTCTCAATATCTTATTGTCAATCTATGTTGTGTCCATTTGTTTTTAGAAAATAAAGTAACATACATAAAAAATATCAGATGCACTTCCAATTAATAAACTTTTTGAAAAATTTCACATAATTATTTTAAGTGACACATAATTTTTCCCACCCTAAATTTCTATTATCTAGAAAACATCTGATATGTAAAAAAGTGCATAAATGTGAGCATCCAAGTAAATAAAAATCTAACATTGAGGGAATTTCAAGTATTTGAAGTTAAAAACAGTATAATAAATTACCTCCCTTTGACCTAAATTTCACCCTGTTAGAACTCCACATCTTTGTTATATATAACAAAAAAACATAAATAGTATACCGGTAATCAAAATAAAAAAATAATTAAATTACAAAAATTCAACACATTTCAATAACATATTTAGTGCGGATGGAGTAATGGTGGCTGAATGGTCAAAGTAGTTCAACTACTGTATCACTAGCCTGTCAACACTCTGAACCCTCACATCGTAGGTGTGTTTAACGTCAATCTTAATTGACTAGAGTTGCCAGTTTCTCTGTTGAAGGGGATGTTTTCACCAGGCTGTCTCCACAAATAAAAACTGGCAGCCAAGATATAGCAAATCATGCTGAAAGTGGTGTTAAATACCAAAAATCAATCAATCTACTTTCATCAAGATATTCTTCAACTATGCTTCTTGTAAAATATTCTTAAAATAATATACCCTTCGTTATAAACTCAGCTAAAAATGACACAAAGGTGAAAAAATATATTACAATTTGCAAAAATAAAAAACATTTCAATAATTAAACATTTTTTTCTTTTTCTTTTTTTTTTTCTTTTTTTTTTAGATTCTCCATTCTTAAACTACTGGAAGTGTTTTGCCTAGACATGAGTATGAACAGAAAATAGAAAGTAATTTTTGAAATTTCAAAGACCTATTAACCTACAACTTCCAATCTTGTTGAAAATGGAGAACCTGTACATAATTTTTTTTTTCTTTTTGTAAAAATTATAAACATTTTCTCAAACATACACAAAAATAGTCTGAATTACATTCTTTACAGTTACAGTAAAATCACATAGCCCTTTTATGCAGCCACAGTTACCTGAAAAAGAAGTATACAGAATTAAACGTAATTGTCAAAATCTGAAAATTGAAACAATATCAAATGCAAAATAATAAATAACTGGTCATTATAATCATGATTCATAAAACCTTTCTCTTGCTTTGTTTAAAAGTGATTTGCTGATATATTTTTTGAACTACCAGTCTTTATTAGCAGAAAAGGATGAAAAACAAGTCAATGGTAGATGTCTTACATATTTCTTTTTTTACATATTGTTTTTTTTTGTATTGGTTCTTACCATAAAAGTCAGCTCCAATGCCCACTCCCAGCTTCAATCTTTACAGACAAGCTGCGATGCTAACCTGAAATATAAAATGACAATTCATTAATAAAACCCTGTAACTCGGAAACCTGAAAAATAAAATGATTAGTCATTCAAGATTGTTTAAAAGGATAATTTTTGATATACTGTATGTATATTCCATATTTTGAATGATTGATTCATTTGATTGTTGGTTGCTAAATGTCCAGTGGCAAATTAAATAAAAGTCTATAAATATGTAATAGAAGTTGAGAACAGCAAACCAGCATCCCAACAAACTTGTACATAATCAAATCAGATAAATAAATTTACTCCTTTAAAGGCAATTAAAGAAAGCAAAGACTTCTTACCAAACTCCTACAAACCTTCACGCTTAGAGCACATGCTATTTCCAAATACATTTTATAATACTTTTTCTTTTTTCAAAACAGGACTAGCATACTGGTACATACCTTCGTATTAGCTGTATTAGACCACCAAGTCTTATTCCCACACCATGAAAACATATCACAGAAGAACCTAAAAAGAATTAAAAAAGACACATTATATATTTTACAAATCCATTTCTCTATAAATATAAAGTCACTATATAATGTTCTGATTTCTTACAAAATGTACACAATAGTATCAACACAAGTTTGTAAGATAAACTGTTGACAGAGATGTCTCGCCTAGCAGCGGAAAATGAAAAACATCTGATGATTAGCAACATTGCTAATTAATTCGATAATTTGTAATGCAAATATGTCATTGATCTATAGCAAGGAGTAACTATTAACCTGACTAAACAGAAAACTTGACATAATAAAAATAAAACAAGTCAAAGGTTTTTGTTTGGAATTTAACTGCACAAAAGTGATGTGCAAATTTAACAGTTATATCCCATTGAATGAACAAATCTTGCTGTTAATTGTACTTGTCTCCCCTTGAAGTTTTAAATATTTTGATCGAAAATCTTGTTCAAGAAAATGGTAACTTAAATTATAAAACTTATTAAAATTAATACATCAATGTTGTTTTGCATGCAGAAGATCAGAAGGGTGCTGGCGTGTTGTCTTAATATGCACTTCTTGTCGAATATTTCTAGAAAATGTATACAAATATTTGGCTTAAATAAACTTGCCTTCTTAATTTCTTGGAAAAGCCTCAGACTTGGTTGAAGATTTATTTGACCATCTTCCTTGGAGCTGCTATCCTGGCTGCTTTCAAAGGTTTTCCATCATAGTTTTTTTATGCTAATCAGTCCACTGAATCCATTCTATCTAAGTAATGAAATTTCCTTTCCATTGTACATTATAAAATGTACAATAGTCACCAGAATGTTCCAAGGCATCTCACATTATTTTTCCAATCATGGAAACTGAAGAAATTCTCAATTCAAAATACAAATAATTTATTAAATTCATTTAAAAAGTACTGTAAAAATACCAGACATGCTTTTAAACAGGTAACTTGTATTTTGATGATTTACGAAATGTATTCTGTACCCCACAATTTCTTCCACTCATTAAAAGTATATTTTAGAACTATGTTTATATTTTTTTTTATTTACAGAGCTCTAGATAATAGCTTTTATATAAGTTACCAAACATCTGATATGAAAATACTTATACAAATGTAAGAAAAAAAGTACAGTGTAGTAATAGTATAATAAACACATATAAATCAATATTTTTAAAATATTTTGAAGCATAGTTTAATCAAAAATATCTCATTTTCAAGGTTTACTACTCATGTACATAGTAGTTATGTATAGTCCCAAAATTTGTAAAAGCCTCTATAGATTTGCAAACTCTCTGTGAATTCCAAAAGATATGGGTTAAAAACTATTTATTTTACCTTTGATGAAAAATTACTAAGTTCCCAAGTCAGGAAAAAAATTATCAAACAATTCCATAGTACCAAGTGGACAACTTAAATATTTGTACAATCATTGTGTGAAGTTAAAAAGATTGAGATTGAAAACTGCAGGAGTTGATTACACAAAATCAGTACCACCTTTGAAAATTTTGGAAAACAATCAAGATCAGAATTAAGGGAAAAATGGGGGGAAATTCCTCAAATAATTTCATATAAGCAGGTACACAACTTCAAAATGTACGCAATTATTCTGTGAAGTTTCAGTGGTACAAGAAAAAGAAGCTGAAATGAAAAAATACAAATATGATGCAAAATGATATTACATGTATCAAGTATGAAATCTTTAGATTTAATAAAAAAATTTAGAAAGAAAAAATTAAGAACTCAAAGAAATGATATAAATACTGATTCTTTATAATAAAAATTAATTTCAATACTTTATAATTTAAATTAATTTCAAAACTCAAATGGCACGTAATACTTCAATAAAATAGATTTTTACTTTTTACTTTATTTTTATACTTGAAAGAAAAAGAGTAGCAAAATTTACAATTGAAAAAGTAAAATTTTTTGTTCCCAGATTATTTATGATAGCATTTTTGATTGGTTATATCAAAATTTTTTTTATGTAAGATTACTTCCAATGACTTTTGTCAGAAAAAAAGGAAAATCACTGATATCTTGACAATAATGGACTGAGGCAAGGTTACTGCACTCTCCGGAATCATTGGTTCCTTAAATGGATAAGAACCAGAAGCAGCCAATATACAGACTTACAGGAATCAGCTCATTTTTGCTACCGGGAAAAGAAAACAGATTACCAGTTAAATCTAAAACAGTCTGGTTATCTTTAACTTTTTTAGTGATTAAATCCCCAAAGTCTGAAACAGGGTCTAATATAAATCTAAAACTGCTTGGTTAACAGAACTGATTGTATGCTATCGCTCAGGCAAAAATAATCATGTATATAATGCCTACCCATAAAATTACAATAAAGTATAGCTTGCAACAATTATTTCTTAATTATTATGGACTAATGGAAAACTCCTTTGAACTAATGAGGCTAAAGTTGGATCCCTGTTAAAGAGTCAAGCTCTTAAATTACTCTTTGTCTGGCCATAAGTTTCAAAAAGGATCCAATGAAGAATAGCTGCAGTCAGTTATTGATAATTGGGTTTTACTTATTTTATTTTTTTAAAGTATTTTATGATGGCAAGTGCTTTACCTATGTTGTAATTACCAAATTTGAAAAAGATAAAATGGTTTGATACCAAGGAGCAAATTAATTTATGTTGTATTTCAAATGGTATGATAGGGTTAAGATCAGTCTAATACATTTTTCAATAAAAGATCTAAATTGTATAAAATGAGCTATATTTTAACAAACTTATGATTTGAAATTTGAAATTTTTGTGTTGTATAATCTACTCCTTTTCATGTACACACGATAAATAGAATAAAATAGACCAGTTTTCAGCTCCTTTTTTGTGATCTTGAAATGATCCTACTCACTGTCAATACTTTTGATTGCAAAAAAGAAAAATTCGTAAGGGTTCCGCGGAACCCAGTGTCTCGCCTACTTTTGGTGTTAATCGCAGGCTCAACAAAAATGAAGAAAAAAATTAATAAAAATATTCCCCTCTATACTATGTTTTGATTGTAAGTAGCTTCTGTCCAAGTTTGGTAAAAATCCAGGATAAATTATGAATCTAATAAATGTTTTAAAAACTTAAACTGCAGAATGTATGTAATGTTGACTGGAAGAAAAACTAAGTCCATTTATAAGTAAAATACAGAAAAAATGGAACAAAATTTTATCAAAATTTCCTTCTAGATACTATCTTATGATCATAAACAAGCTTCTTTCCAAGTTTGGTATAAATCCAGGATAGTTTAAGAAAGTTATTGAAATTTCAAAAACTTTAACCACAGAGTGAATGTAATGTTTCCTGGCAGAAAAACTAAGTCCATTTATAAGTAAAATACGGAAAAATGGAATTTTTTTTTTACAAAATTTACTTCTGGATACTATCTTATGATCATAAACAAGCTTCTTTCCAAGTTTGGTAGAAATCTAGGATAGTTTAAGAAAGTTATTGAAATTTTAAAAACTTTAACCACAGAGTGAATGTAATGTTAACTGGCAGAAAAACTAAGTCCTCTTATAAGTAAAATACGGAAAAAATGGAATTTTTTTTTTACAAAATTTACTTTTGAATATAATCTTATGATCATAAACAAGCTTCTGTCCAAGTTTGGTAGAAATCCAGGATAGTTTAAGAAAGTTATTAAAATTTCAAAAACTTTAACCACAGAGTGAATATTTGTGGACGCCGCCGACGACGACGACGCCGACGGAATGTAGGATCGCTATGTCTCGCTTTTTCGACAAAAGTCGAAGGCTCGACAAAAATTGTTTCAAGAAGCCGGACAAAATTATCCTTTAATATATTGATCACAGAATGGCTTGGGAAGTTAAAAAGATTAATTTTCTATTAAACAGGGAATTTTTACAAAGAAATGCATAACCGCAAGACAATCTAATTTTACAAAGTACGATGAGCAGTTGTTAAATGGGACTAACAAGTAAAATTAAAACATTAATACCAGTTGTCAATTATGGTCTCATAATAATGAAGTTATCATTAAATGTCTGGAATCTGTGGATGAAAACCTAGTGTTGAAGGTGAGAGTTGAAAATTAACCCAAGGTTGAGAAGCTTGAAGCAAAGGGAGATAACTACTGTAAGATATCGGAATTGATAAGTTAGATAACTCTTCACTTGGAGATGATGATAGTTTCAGATAACTCAAAATGAAGTTTTTAGGGTATTAGAAATCATTATAAATTTCGTTGGTCATCTCAACGAGATTGATTTTCTCCCTTGAGCCGGTACCGCGAAAGTGAGAAAAACAATCAAGTTGAGATGATAATCTGTTTATCACTATTTTGCTTATGACGATGATGAAATTTACATTGACAATGGCACGTGCAGCCTTAGTTTCTACAGATACTTTCCATATCTTTCTACTATGCTGAGAAAGGAAATTATCAGTAAGATCAAAGGAAAATTCAGTAAAATAGTGATAATAATATATATATCATAGAAATTTATTATTGTTCACTAAATATTAAGACTTGTACAAGCTTTCAGTCATGTAAGAATTAATAACCTTTGCGATTATGTTTATAACTCTATAATAAATGTAGATTAAACATCCAAATTCTTTTTTGTATGGCAGAATTTTCGTTATGGCTTGACTGTTATAAAAATGTAATTTTACTTCTTTATTATCTTAATAGCGATCAGTGCTTTAAAGATGTAGATACCCAGAAACAATTTTGAAGAAGATAAAGTATATCTAAAAAACTTTTGGGATCATTTTCCACTTCCCCTGAATTCAACTTAATTTACGAGAATATGTTATCTAGTTTTCCATTTCCAATACATCATAATATGTCAAATACAATTTAGATTTTGATTTTGATTGAAGATATTCATTTTCAATTTTGAAAATAAGAAATTAAAGAAAGTATGAAAATCATACAGATTCAAAGTTCAAAGCAGCTTTATGCTCAAACATTAGATTATTTTTTTTAATGACTAGAAATATCAAATATTTTTCATTTCAGAATTACATATATAGATTCCTTCGAATGGTAAACAACACACTCTAAATACCTCAAAACCAAAGAACCATCCAAAGAACAACTGAAACAAACAGAAGATATAACCAACCCTACTACTTAAACACCAATAAGCAACTTTGTTATGTGTTAGTAAAGACACGCAGCGCTCCAGGCATAATGTATTTCTGAAATGATCATTTGATATTTGTTAAGTCTACACCAAAACTCTGAAGATAAAGAATGTTTTGCTTCGGAACTTTGCATGCACTAGACTACGAGTTTCAATCAATTTCAAGTACTATGTTATTCTATAATCTGACAACTACAATGCTTTGAAAATGTAAAAATATTAGGAAATTTATTATTTCACTACAAATCTTAAATTTTAATTTAAATGTCTTAGGAAAATTATTTCATTATAAATCTGAAATTTTAATTTAAATGACATCTTTTTTTTTAAAGGAAGAACCAAAAAAAATGCATTTACTCATTATCTTTTGATTTTGCCATTTGATTAGGGACTTTCCGTTTTGACTTTTCCTCAGCGTTCAGTTTTTTTTGTGATTTTACTTTTTTTTTCACTACAAAAAAAGCACTGATAGACC